AGAGATAATCATTAAATTTCTCTGTCACTGCCCATTTTAGAGCGAGAAACTCCAATTTATGAGCAGGGTACTTGGACTCACTCCGTGAGAGACCTCTGCTGGCATATGCCACAACTCTGTTCTTTCCATCCTGCTCCTGATACAACACCGCACCAAGACCGGTGGAACTGGCGTCGGTGTGGAGTGTGTAGGGTTTTTGTGAATCAGCAAATGCCAGTACAGGAGCAGAAGTTAGTTTCTCGATGATAGTTTCAAAAGCCTGCTGGCACACTGGTGTTCACCGTCCTCCAAATGGTGCTTTGGGGTTCAAGTAGTTCTCTGGTTTTACAGTTGGTCTCAATTTCTTCTGGGATGGCAGATAACCAGCAGTCAGGTCATGCAGTGGCTTAACTATGGCTGAGTATCCTTGGACGAAACGGCGGTAATATCCAGAAAAACCGAGAAAAGACCTCAGCTCTTTCAGGTTTTTGGGCACTGGCCAGGAGGTAAGCGTTTTGATCTTATCAGGATCTGTCTCAACACCATTCTGGGACACTACATGCCCCAGATATTTCACAGATGTTTGGAAAAACACACATTTCTCGACTGACAACTTCAACCCAAAGTCCTTAAGTTTGTTGAGAACTTTCATCAGGCGTTCTTCATGTTCCTCCAAGGTAGGTGCAAAGATGATCAAATCATCGATGAAAACCAAAACTTCTTTTAGATTTAATTCTCCCATGCATCTTTCCATCAACCTTTGGAATGTGCTTGGGGCATTGGTGACCCCTTGTGGCATGCGGTTGAATTCCCAAAACCCCAATGGACATACAAAGGCAGTTTTGGATTTATCCTTTTCCTCCATCTCAATCTGGTAATAGCCCGACTTAAGGTCTAACACAGTGAACCACTTTGATCCAGAAAGGGCAGAAAATGCATCTTCAAGCTTGGGTAGAGCATAGGCGTCCTTTATTGTTTGAAGATTTAGCTTCCTGTAATCGATACAGAGGCGTACACTGCCATTCTTCTTGCGTACGACGACAATTGGAGAAGCAAATGGTGAATCAGACTCACGTATGACTCCGGAATCAGAAAGCTCTTGCAAATGCTTTCTTACAGCGTCGACATCCTGAGGATGGATTGGTCTTGGCCTTTGTTTGAAAGGAGTGGGATCAGACAACTTGATTTGATGTTTAACTTTATCTGTCCGGCCGAAGTCCAGGTCATGCTTTGCAGCAAACACCTCAGGAATACTGTTGAGTTTTTGAATGATTCGCTGCTTCCATTCTGGAGATAAAGGTGAGTCTCCAAAGTTGTATTGTGGTTGGGATGGTTGTAGCAACTCTGTAGACTGGGTTGAATTCTGGACTGTTTGCTCTTGTGAGATCACACTCTGGAAAGTGCTGATTTCTGCTATGACTGCTCGTGCTGGAATGTGAATCTCATGGTCAGACTCATTGCTTACAACAACTGGCAGATGACAAGGCCGGTGTTGAGGCAAGTCAATGAGGCAGGTTTTTACCATGAGCCCACCAGGGAGGGCATAGGAACTTGGATGTTCGAGGAGGACGTGTTTTTCCTCCTGCCACAATCTTGCAGCTAAGCACCCTTCTACAACTGTGGTTTGGCCAGCAGTAATAATTTGAGGCTGAATAGACTGCAGGGTGACAGTTGCAGTAAGGTCATTCGAACTCTGGGCATAGCGGTGTTGAAGGATCTTGTACACTGCTATATAACC